TCTAAGGCTCGGTCCCTTGTGACCAAATACAAACTACAGGAACTATTATTTCTAATTTAAGTTGCTGCATGCCTGATGCCTCCTGTTTTTTCCATGGATGCGTTGGGCCATGGAAGCAATCCATGGAAGAAGCTGGAGGCTCTGGGACTCTAGCGCCAGCTTCTGAAATGAGTAATTTAATTTAAACTAAGGTATTGCTGATATGTCAGTTTTACCAAACTTGTTCTCTGGAGTTTGCCTTGAAATCTATAATGCTTCTTTTGGATAAACCATTGATTAATGTCTCATTTGCACAAAGCCACAGTGCCTTTCTCCTTGCTTGATTAGTCCATTAATCAGGATGAAGCCCATATTCTTTGCTACTACCTAAAGGTTAGCCTCTGACAGAGATTTAAGGGATGTTTCATCCAATTAAATGGGTGTGATTGAACCCGCCATTTTCAGTCTCTGAGCTTAGCTTTGAATTAAAGTGCAACTGAAAAAATAGATACAAAAACTGAAATCATGAAGGCTTCTCAACATCTAGCTCTAAAGAATTTTCACAATTACTGTAAAGAGAACAACCCGTTAGGAGAAATCTTTTTCCTTCTCTTTTTAGTTCTTTTAAAATAAAATATTTATGATGCTGAAACCAAAGAACATTTCTCTCTGAAAATAAAACAGCCAACAGCCAAGGTCCACTACGTGAATGTTACTAACTCCCTACTTAATATTAGCCAACCCGTAACTGAATTAGATATACTAAATCATTCATCAAGCATGAGTTGTCTCTATAGGTGGGAAAAGGAAACATCAAAATCATACAGAGACATCAAGTGAAATACTTCTCCAGTTAATAAGATATTCAGGAAATGTTTCCAGTACTGTAATTCACTTTTATTTAAAAAATAGAGTCCAAACATAGTTTTTGATAAGGTGCAACATATATACCATTTTCTACATTTAAAAAAAAACAACAAAAAAAACAAAACAAACCAAAAACAAAACAAAAAAAAAAAACAAAAACAAAAAACAAAAAAACAAAACAAACCAAAAACAAACCCAAAGCAAAACAATATTCATAATTATAGTGTCTATCCAACACGCAATCAGTGTGTCTCCTGTAATTCTTAAACATTCTTTTTCTGCTTCAGCAAAGCATAAGAATTAATGATTATTATCACTGTGACAGCCAAAGGGTCTGGCTAATGTCATCCAGAAGCTGAATGTAACCGAACACAGTTCATGCAAAACAAAGGTACAATACTGAACTTGCATCATCCAAAGATTTATGTTCTTTTGCTTAGTTTGACATCTTCAAAGTCTAACTGCTTGAACAGAAGGATTGAACTGAGGTTGCATAAAGTGAGCACTATATACTAAAGTACTTACGTAACTCACAGATTGGTCAGGCTACGTGACTATCTTGAGCTCTAAAAATTCAAATAAATTCTTAAGGCTGAGATCTATGCCTCTTGGAGTCTACTCAGTAACCTCTGAGACATATTTGGGAATACAGATGGAATATAGTGACTTATAATGAGCCTGTTATGGAGAAATACATTAAATCATTACATCATAACTGCATTTTTTTTGAGAAAAACATGTTATTAATTTATATTGTGTTCCCCATTCAGATACTCATGCTAAGAGCAACAAAGTCTGTAGCATGGAGGAAGTTTTCTAATTAGCAAATTCTGTCCAGTTTCAAGGCCTTCCTTGTCATTCTAGCACCACATCAGCCTTGATAATGCCAAGCAGCTGAAGTTAGCTAGGACTGTACCATTTCAGAAGAGCTAGATATCAGTCCCCGCTCTAAGAGAGTTTAATGGATTTTGAACAGACACTGGAACAAGGAGCAGCAGTACATGGTTACACATACAAAGCTTTTCTCCTTGATCCCTTAGATATTTAAACAATCCCATCTAAAGAGGAACACGTTTGATCGAAGAGAGCTGTACACCCATTTATCTGCATTCTGCTTGGGTGGTAGTCCCAGGGTCAAACTGCATCCGCAGTAAGTTCTTACAAATCACCTTGCTGGTTTTATGGGCCTTGCTTTTAAGCCCTGAGGGCTCCTCATATGCAGTCTAATAAGACAACAAGCTACCACAAGGCTGACTTGCATTTAGTGGATCAGACCTCTGGGTATTAACAGGAATTAGCCACACAAGTTTATGCCTCTGCATAGCCATGGACTGAGTTTAAGCTGGTAACTCAAGTCAATACCCAAGTGAGTTTGCATTCATGGACAGTTTCACCTCAGTTAAGTGACTCCACGTCTTTTCATCAGGAAATGATAGTGGTTTCCAGTGTTGATATAACATCCTGGTTCCTGTTAGCAAACACTGCCATCAGTACTATGAATGCTTTTCAGAGTTAAGCTCTGCCATGGAGTACATCATAATGCAACATGGACTGAAATTTCCTTCACCAACAGACAAGGATTTAGACTCTTCCCTAATATACATGAAGCCTTGAGTTTAATTTCAGATAGCAGACAAATTCATTTCCCAACTTACTTCTCTTGGCTTATGAGAAAAAGAGGCATTTAGAAATGTTCAAGTGGGGAGGGTATGCACTCTTGTTTCCTATGTAAACATAAAGGAAAATGGGAAATTGTTCATGAAACATGTATGTATTAACATTAAGAGCTATAAAAGTGAAAAGTAGAACACAGTCCTACAGTTTTCATTTCAGAACAAGATTGCTCTCAAAAGTCAGACTATGTATCTTAGTTCCAGTCCCTTAGATTCTGGCAGTTTTGGGTAGAAACTAAGCCCTGCAAGGGTTTAGTTGTAAGAATGAACTGATTTTGTTTTATGATAGCATCTCTGTTTAAATGAAGGAATCCAATGTTTATGAGCCTGGTTCTTCACTTGGTTGGATTTTTTATGAGTTTGGCTGATCATAGCTTCACAGAAAACCAAAAGAAACACCAATATTATGTTGTATTTCCTACTTTCAGAAGGAAAGGGTTGCTTAGTTCTATAGTTTACACAGTTTTAACAATAGCTCTTTAATAATACATTGTGCTGCAGATGTTCAGTTAACAAAAAGCATACACATATATTTAGGGGCATTGGCCAGAGCTACACATATTTATGTCTGTCTGTTGCAAACACTATTGTTAAATGGACTGGTTAGCAGATTAAAATTATCCCTTTACTTCCGTTTCTTTTACTTAAACAGTTTGGGCCATACTTTGTGCGAATGCAATGGGACACATGCTGGAAGGAAGTGGGGTCACTGGAGATAAGAGGAGGAATTTGTGACATGTAATTTTGGACATCTAACTTAGGGTGCCTCCTAAGTTGTCTCAGTTCAGGGACACAATAACCATGCACATTGCCTATAAGTTGGATCAACAGTCTGGCTTTTGTCTTGAGTAAGCAACAGGTTCTTCTGGCATGAAAGGACTCCACTCATCTCAGTCCATAAAGACCATCTGGATGCAGTGGACCTGAGCTACCTGCATTAACTTGAACAGAAATACCATAGATTTTAGAAACCTAAATGAAGGGACCAGACTCTCAGAGGGTCAGCAGGGGATTCAAGACATCTAAGTGAGGATGCAACATGCAACCTCTCTCCAATCTTTAGCTTATAGTTATAAAGCAGACACTGGGTAGTGTGGATTATGTGTTACTGAGAGTAGAATTTGGTCTTCTGTTACTGACAGCAGTATTGACTAAATGCCAGTACATTAACACAGATAATGTTGACTCTGTGCATCTCACATAGGACCAGAAAAAGGGTCTAGGAAAAGTTAGCATTTTTATCTGAGTGACTTGGAGGTCCCTACCAGGGGCTGTTAAATCTTGTGTTCTTGCTGCAAACAGATCAATAATTAAAGCTTTGCTATTGTTGTTTGAATTCTCAGTTCCTCTGATCTTATCCAGCCACAGTGTTGTGGGGAGGGATTCCATAGTCCAATGACTGGCAGATGCACAAAGAGTAGCTCTGCTACAGCATAAATGTCTGACTGTTAAATTAACTTCAGCGATCTATTGGCAGGTGCAGGCAATATGCCAAGAAATAGCAATGACAAAAAGAAAATAAATGGAGAGTCAGGAATCAATGCAGAGCTTCATCAGTTTGTGAAAAATTATGATGTACACAAGGGGAGACAGGTGAGGGATTCAATCTCTTGTGACTGACATTGATGAGAGATGGATACCAGTCTCCTTTTAGTGCCTTTGAATAGTCTTCCATGGGCTTCTATGTTTTTTTCTTGTTTCCACAGCAAACCACATAATACTGAATATTACAGTATCTGTATGCAAAATTGCATAGAGAAATAATAAACCCTAACAAATAAGTCACACTTCAACATTAATAAAGGGAAGTGGACTGACATAAATGCTAAACAGTATAAAATTCAAAGAACTAAAGCAGGGAGCAGGGGACACTACATTTTGAAGTGAGTTGAAGTGTGTTCTTGCTCCTTTAACTTCAGTCTTGTTTCACTTAACTTTTACAAAATAAATGAATATGACAACATTTTTCATTTTAAAATATGACAATTTTTCCATCATGAAAATGGTATCATTCAGTAGCAAACAGGCATGATTTCAGTAAGAAAACCAACTGACATTACTCATATACACTATCTAGTTTGGAAACAAATCTTTATATCTCTTAACAGCTTATAGATAAACAGTGCCTGCTAATCTTCACACCTGCCTCATGAGTTACTGTGAACACTGATGCATCCCACTGGTGCTCCTGGCTCTTTGTCTCTAAGCAGCACATCACTTACACTCACCAATGCTCCAATTGAGCCGTTGAGAATCTCATTAAGGAAACACAGCTTGATGTCTGCATCTGCTCAGAGCTCCTAAACTGCCTTCCTCATTAAATAAGTGCCATCCTGCACCCAATCCCTCTGTCAGAGGCATATTGGGCCATTCCTCATACACATTACATTTTTTCTTTAAACAAAATGAAACACTGAACTAAACCTTCGTGTTAATCTAGAAGGGATTCCTTCGAGGTTGCTTTCTTCTTCCTTTACCAGTCTAGTTAAACATGATAGATTCAGGGTCCTGGTTTGCCATTTGAGCCATATGTCTTAATACATCCTTTTTAGTTATGATACCCAGCAGCCTCCTAGAGGAGAAAAGGAAAGGAGAGGTCAACAATTATCTCTTATATCATCCATTTCTTTTTTTCCCTTTTCAACTGCAGGGACGTTTTGTGACTGCTTCCATATAGCCATGTCCATCTCATCCATTTCCCCAGGGATTATTTTTTTTAAAAGTATTCTCACCTTGTGTATTTATACTACCCTGGACATGGTCATTAAGAGAAATACTTTGGCTTGTTACCTCTTTTTGTTGGGAACACGACTGAATGAGGAGCTACAACTACTGACACTTGGTACAAAAAGTAACATGTTTTCTTAGGCCCACGCTGCAGAGGACCAACAACACAGAACCAAGACACCAGTGCCCTGAGCTTTGACATGAACTAAGCTAAAGCACAAAATTTCTCTCACTGTCAAACAGCATAATTCCTCCAAATTTGAGTGATAATTTCTCATTTATATGAACCTGAATGAATTAGATCTGTCAAGAAAGATATAGCCTATGGGACATTTGGCCCCAAGAGTCAAAAATTTCCTAACCCTCAGTATTCAAGGGCTTTTATTTCCATTCCTTGAAAGCCATGAGGCACTGAATTTTGAACCATGTCATTGTTATATTTTTCCATGTTTCATTTTGTCTAAGTACGAGAACTCAGGATCAAAATTTCCAAATCTAGGCACTTAAAATCAAGACCTAAATCTGTGTCCCAATAATTGTTCTTATCTTCTTAATGCTGAGGACACTGCATCAATAGTAACAGCTGATACACAATATGTTAATATAAAAAAAGGGCTCTTCACAGAAGATTGTATTTTAGTCTTTTGCATTTGAAAATTATGGCTCTGGTTTCGCTATCCTGTTGTAAAATTTCTTCTTAGCACTAGATCCTGGGATAAGCAGTGATCCCAAAATAGCTCAAATTCCATTGGAATTATGGGATGTTACTTCCAGTGCACATGATGCAGTTTTTTGCTCCCCTAATTTCATGTTTGCCCATACTTCTTCAGCTGTTTTTTGTGGAGTTTTGGTTTATAAACCTTTCCACTTTCCATTAAAGAAAGATGAACAAATTAACTTTGCTCCACTGACATCTTTATCATAGTTTCCACAAGCATCTAACCTAGCTGGATGTCTAGAAAGTGGCACATTCCTTGCAAACGATACTACTTGACAGGTCTGCCTCTGTTGAAATCTAGTTGATGGTGGGAGTCAGAAGAGTTTATTTAGCATTTATTTTAATTATTATTTATTTTATTTAATATTTATCTTTACCTTATTTAAATGGAGATTACGACACTAAGAATTTGGGAGAGCAGAAAGAAACATGACACCTGGCAAGTGCCATTTCGATTCTGAATCTGACTTCTTTGACTGCCCTGGAGCAACGCTGGGTGAAGCTGCCCTCATACTTCCATCCACAAAACAGACAAGATCAAAATAGTCACTTTACTGTCTCAGAGGCGCTGATTAATTAGCTACTGTCTATACTGGGCTTTAGACAGGAAAAATGGTGGGTTTGTTATTGCTGAAGAAAATTTCCTGAGATTCTTTAAGCGTGTCTGACCCCGCATCTACTCACCCACTGCGAGTGACCAGACACTGCCGGAGTCCAAGTTTCCGGAAAATATCTACCACAGTCTCCATTGGCGTGTGGTCAGTGACAGTGAAAGGGCTCAGGTTGAGAATACGCCGCAGCTTCAGTGGATGGGGACTGTTGGGTGGCAGTTCTGGGGGGTCTTCGGTGAAGTACACAATGGAGTTGCTCACCACCCCATCCTGACGCTGCCTTGCGTTCTCTGTACAACAGGAAGATCAAAGTAAACAGTGCGTTAGGCTTGTTACAAAACAAAACCCAAAATCCACCTTTAGAAAGTACAGGTAGTGGTTGGTTTTTGTCTTTAATGACCCCGAAGTTGGATTTACTGAGCAAACTTGAATTTCCCTGAGACATTGATCCCATGAAGCAAACATAAACGATATTTTTACAAACATATACTTTGGCTTGGCTGGAACAATGATTTTCAGAATAAATATGAAGCTCACTGCATTCACAAACATCACTAGTTCAATTTCTGTCAAATTAAAGTGATTACATGTCATTTACTCCATTGTGAGAATCACAACAGAATCTCCTATTATATGCTCAAAGGAGTGGAGTCAACAGCTCTGTGAGATCCTGGCTGGCTTGAGGAAGTATGTTTGTTCCCAGCCTTCTCAGTGGAGTTGGGAATATCTGGGCATGGTGTATGGATTTATGAATACAAAGCTAGGGA